TGCCTCGGCATCAATTAGGCTTTAATTTAACAATTTCTATACAATTTCTTCATGGACACTGATCACTTTTTTTTTCATTTCAAAGAAAGCTGACATACTTTTTAAAAATTAAGAACGTGTAAAAGAAAAAAACATGTTAAACTTTAACCTAAATATATCTGCAATAATTCACTTTCCAATGTACTCTGTGGACAGGGCTTTTCCAATCCCTGTTCAGTGGTCTAAGAATATTCAGTGGGGATTTATTTTTAATGGGGTCTCTTCAAAAGACTTTTGGGCTTTTACTTTCATCCATAGCCTTCTGCAAACTGGGTGCTCAGAATTTAAGTTCCAATACATTTACTTCCACTGATCTTTGATTTTGTTATTTACAATCCTTGGATCAACAGACTGATATACTTTTCCCATGTGTGCTTAGTTGTCACCTGACTACAGAGCTGCTTGTTTTAAGACAAACTTTTAAGAGTCCACACAATAGTCTTTCTGCTACCTAGGCATCATCTGAGTTAAGAGTGCTTTACTATAGCACCCTTATTTTAGTGATCCCTTCACGAAAATATTAGGTTGGTCTGTCAGTTTGACACACTGTAATGGCTTGTGTGTTACTGTGATGCTGGAAGCTATGTTACTGGTATTTCCAATACCAGCAGTGTCACCCAATGTGAACAGGCTTCAGCAAACCTTCCAGACAAAGAACAAACTACAATGATGGAATAGGCTGTGTACTTTGGAGGAATTAGTCACATAAAAACTTATGTTTGGCATCAAAACATTGGCAGGTACTGAAAACCTCATGAAAAGAAGGAGAACCTTGTCAGAGATAGTGTCAGAAAATGGGCCTCTCGGGTCAGAAAGCACTCCAAATATGACCGTGGAACAGCAGCGTTTTCAGAGTATATTCGACTGTAATGACGTGCATGGAGGAAAGTGTATGGGAATAAAACCTTCAGGAACTTCATTAGCTGAAGGGGCACCACTCAAAAAGCAAAAACCATAACTGCAAACATCAGCAAAAAATCAAATTGGAGTGCACGAAGTATGAATTTGGAAAATTGGAAGTTGTCAAAAAATGAAATGGAATGTATAAAGATTGATATCCTAGGCATTAATGAGCTGAAATGGGCTGATATTGGCCATTTTTAATTAGAAAGTCATAGGATTTCCTATGCTAGGAAAAATGTAAATTTTAAGATCTCTCTTGAAGTACAATGCTATCTGTGATAGGATTATCTGCATACAAGGAAATCCAGTCAATACAACTATTATTCAGATTGATACACTAACCACTAAAACTAATGAGGCAGAAATTAAAGAATTCTACCAATGTTAGCAGTCGGAAATTGATCAGACATGCAATCAAAGTGTATGATAATTATTTGCAACTGGAATGCAATAGTTGGAAACAAAGAGAAAGGAACAGAGTTGGGAAATACAGTCTTGGAGATAGAAACAAAGCTGGAAATTGCCCAGTAGAATTTTGCAAAACCAATGACTTGTTCATAGCAAATACATTTTTTCAACAGTACAAACAGAGACTCCATGTGGACTACTCCAGATGGAATACAGGGAAATTAAGCTGATTACATTTCTGGGAAGAGACAATGGAGAAACAGTATCAGTAGCAAAAACACGGGAAACAATCCTAAACCCCAATTACGAAGGAATGATAAACAAGCTCTGGTAAATTAGTATTATGGAATATTATTAATCAGTAAAAAAAATAACTCTTAAACCCGGCAAGATATGCACAAAACTAGACCCTATTGTGCTTAGCAAATGTAGTCAATCTTACAAAAATATACATTTAATAACACTATTATAAGGAAATACAAAGAAAAAGAAATGTGGTTTATACATCAATAGACAAAACTTCAATGCCTGTGAGATCAGGTGTAGGGCAGGAATAGGGAGAGCCGAGGGATAGGATATTGAGGAAGCGAGGGATAATGTTCAGGGGTGGGGGGTAGAAAAGAACCATATGTATGGATGTTTTCACATGATATTGTTTTTTTTATTTTTAAGATTTATGTATAAAATATTTATTAGGATATCAGTAACTATACTTACAAATCTTTTACAAATTATTGTTAAGTACACTATTAGTTGAGTATGTAAGCTTTATTTACATTCTATATTTAAGTGTATATATACATAAGTCACAATTTGAATTTGCATATATTTTTATATATCAATAATTATATTATTTAACTTTTAATTCAATATCTAATAGTTTAAGAAGGTCGTACATAATATATTCATATTAAAAATTTACAGATGCATGTGTTAGACTGGGCAGACTAGAGAAACAAATTCAGGGACACTCATGTATGTATAAGAAAGCACTTTATATCAAAGAGTAATTGTATATTAAATTGTATATTAATTGTATGTCAGAGAGTAATTGTATATTAAGAGACACCCCAGCCCAGTCCAGATCAAGTACATAAGTCCGATATTAGCCCATATGTCCAATACCAGACTATAAATTCCTCTTCAGACTCACGCAACACATG